TATTTTGTGAGGGTAAATTATTATAAATACTTGGAAATGACTGCATGCTAGGTGCTTTCCAGACACATGCTGTCTCATGTAAGTAGGCAGAGCCAATGTTACTGGTTTTCAAAATGAGGAAACTGAGGCAAAAAACCAATGTAACATTCAAGTCAGAGAACTGGACCTCGAATCCTTTCCCCCTCATAATGTAAATACTATTTTTCTAAGTTTTTATTCTCATAAAAGCAAAGGAAAAAGTGGATTGTGGGAAGCATGAGTATCTTTACATAGCCTGTATACCTTTAAGGAACAGTGGGCTCAGGATAAGGGTTATCTTCTGTATCACTTACTATAAATAACAGGTCATTCATGTTGAGGAGTTTTTTTGTTCGTTTGTCTTTTGAGACAGGGTCCTATTTCCTGAGGCAGTGTGCAGTGGCATTGTCATAGTTCACTGCAACACAGTGAGAAACTATGTCTACAAAAACACAAAAACTATCTGGGATGGTGGTACATGCCTGTAGTTCCAGCTTTTGGGAAGGCTGAGGCAGAAGGATTGCTTCAGCCCAAGAGTTTGAGGTTGCTGTGAGCTATGACACTACAGCACTCTACCCAGGGCAACAGAGTGAGACTCTGTTACCAATAAAACCCAAAAACAAATAAACGGATTTTGCTATTGATGTTGCTTTTTCCAGAGGGTTTTAACTACTTGAAAGACATTCTATATGATACTTAAAACATTTTAAATGGTGCTCAGGAATAAAGAGGTTATTTCATCATAGATCTATTTAAAGAATAAAATTATGAAATTCAAGCCCTTCACCTGCATTTCAAGGTTGACACAGAAGTGGGTTCTATAAATAGTTCTGTTAAGTTAGGCTGTCTTCTGTTCGCATCTTGGTTGCCACCTTATTTTCAGGAAGACTAACAAGATAATGATTTCTTATATTTAAAACCTACGCAATAATAATTATTAAAAAATATTCCTATAAAGATTCTTAATATAAGAAGTTGTAATGGAGGTAAATGAAAAATTGGCTGACTTAGGGAGATCTCTGCCTTCAGCAGCAATTATCTAACTTTGGTATCACAAAAATAACAGAAAAGAATTCTTGATTTTTCACCCTTTCTATTTATATTATGAGAGACAAGTATTTCTGAAAATAATAAAATATGGTCTTGGCTGAAAAATCTTTTTTTACCTTTGAATATTGAGTATAAATTACATCTGATCATGTTTCACTTAACAGTGGAAACATGTTTTGAGAAATGCACTGTTGAGCAATTTCATGATTGTATTCATATCGTAAAGTACTTATAGAAACCTAGATGATACAGCCTACTGCACACCTAGACTGGACTGTTCTTCCTAGCCAACAAACCTGTACTGAGTTACTGTACTGAATGTAGTAGGCCATTGAAACACAATGGTATTCACGTATCTAAATGTTTTTTAATGTACAGTAAAAACATGATATTATAATATTATGGAACCACTATCATATACGTGTATATGTGGTCCATACCATGCAGCACATGTCTGTATTTGCATATGAATTTTCTACCTTTTACTTAACATTGAGTTTTTAAAAATAAAATTGCATTTACCTCCATATCTTTTAAATTTAGTAATTTGGCTTGGCCCCTGTAGCTCAGTGGTTACAGCACCAGCCACATGCCCCAGGGCTAGTGGGTTCAAACCTGGCCAGGGCCTGCTGAACAACTATGAGAACAATAACAACAACAAATAAATAGCCAGGTGTTGTGGCAGGCACCTATAATCCCAGCTACTTTGGAGGCTGAGGCAAGGGAATTGCTTAGGCCCAAGAGTTTGAGGTTGCTGTGAGTTGTGATGCCGCATCACCCTACTGAGGGTGACATAGTGAGACTCTGTCTCATAATAAATAAATAAATAAATTTAGTTACATATTTAGGTGGACTTACAAACCTTAAGCCACCACTCATAATTCTCCACTGAGGTTTTAATTGTGATAAAGGACAATTGAGGAGAGGTGGGAAGGATATCAAAAGGCATGCACTCTCTATTATGTAGGTAGTGTTTTTCAGTATATCACTTTGGTTTATATCAACTTACGCTGTTCCTGAACATAATTTGCTGCTATTTATTTGGCATATACATATGTGTACATATATATGCATACACAAACACTCCTTATTCTCTGTGAACCCACAAGAAAGTGGGTAAAATAGTGTGGGGTAGAATTTACCTACAGTGAACTAAGTGGGTCTTAAATGTACAATTAAATAAGCTTGATAAATGCATACCTCATAACTTTCAATAAAGAAACGTTTTCCTCATCACTGTAGTTGATACAGTGGAGTGCTTCCAAGATTGAACACTTAACTCTTTCAGTCACTGGGGGTGTGTTGGAGAGTGTTGTCTTGAGTGTACACATTCTGTGACCAACCTATATCCATGGACTGGTCACTGAAGTGTTAGGGTGGCGGGAGAGGTATACAGGCCCACTTGTTGCAATTTGTGACACTTGTTAAAGGCCTTCCCAGCTCCAGAACTTCCCCTGTGCTAAGCAGAGGCATTTGTTGCTTCTGTGGTATAATTCAGGTTCTCCTTCTACCCATTGGGCTTTCTTTAGTTCTTTGTAGATGTTGAGCATGAAAGCATTTCTCAGTGGACTTCTTTTGCACAAATACTCATTCTAGAGTCTGCTTCTCAGGGGTCTGAATCAGCAGCACTCTAGAAAGATCATTCATGTCTTCCTCCAGTCAGTCCTCACCACCCCCAACCAAACATTGCTTTTATTTCTATCATCATCGATTAGTTTTGCCACTTTGAGAAATTCATATTAAAGGAATGATACCGTATGTCCTTTTTTGTATCTGGCTTCTTTTGCTTAAAACACTCATCTAAGTTGTTGTCTGTTGTTCTTGTTTTTTTTCCTGTTGCTGAGTAGTCTATGGTATGAATAAACCATCATGTATTTATCCATTTAGGTATAGGCATTAGGCACTGTATCACGTGTTTTGCTATTGTAAGTGAACCTGCTATGAATAGTCTTGTGTAATTCTATTTGTGGATATACATTATCATTGATGTACATTATCATTTCTTCTTGGTAAGTACCACAAATGGGATTTCTGGGTCATAGTATACAGGTATGTTTAACTCTCTGAGAAATTGTCAGAGTTATAGTTATCCAAAGTGATTACCATTTATATACTCCTACCAGCAATATATAAGAATTATTCTGTATTCTTTCCAACACTTTGTATTTTATGTTTATTACTTTTTTTATGTGCTATTCTTCCCTTTCTGACTTCTTTTTGATTAATCAACTTTTAAATTCAATTTTAATTCCTCTAATGGCTTGTTAACTGGACCTCCTTTACTGGGGATTACAGTGTACACGCAAGAGTTTATATTTTCAGTCAGTGTTTATATTTTCATATGTCAGTATAAAATTAAGAATCTTGAAAAGTATTATCCCATGATATTGCTTTCTTACTCTTTGTCATAAAAATGTTATGAAGCTTTCAAAACAACTTTATAGTTTCTTTTAATAATCACATGCATTTTAAAGAAAATAGAGGGAAAAATAGTCTTATCTTATTCATGTATTGGCCATTTTTATTCTTTCCTTCATGTGGTTCCAAATTTTATCTGGTATTTTCCTTCAGCCTAAAACTTCTGTTAGTATTTCTTTTAGTTTGGATTTCTGGTCAGCGATTCTGAGATGACATTTTCTCCTTCTAGCACTTAGGGATGTTATTCCATTGCCTTTGGCCTTTTTTGTTTCTGATGGGAAGTTAGTCTTTGCATCATTATCCTCACATGTAGTTTGTTTTGTTTCTTTCTGGTTGAATTTAAGATTTCTTTCTTTGCATTTGCACTTTAGAAATTTGATTATTGTGTGCATTGGTAAGAGGTTTACTTTTTTTTTTGTGGTATGATTATTTATAATATACTCTTAGTTGTCTTGAAGTGTACCCTTGCATTGTGTACATTAGGTGAGATCCTGCCAAATACCCT